GTATTCCTGAGGGGTGACCTAAGAGGAGGCAATAACACGTATGTGTGTATGTAAAGACGAGTCCACGCTACAGCCAACCTTGTAAAGTGCCATTTTCCATAACAAGAAACAAGGGTCCTGAGAGTAAGACACTCATGTACCACGTGCTGCAGTGTCCTTGTGTCCAGAGGAGTGCACCAGGCACAAGGAAAGGAATGGAGTCCAGCACTGCTGGCTTTTATTACAGAGGGAGACCAGGAGCCTCACAGGAGTCAAATGTAGAGGTGTCTTATATAGTTTGCATTTTAAGTTAATCTGCACTGTAAATTCCCAGTTTATAAAATGTGACCAAATGATGATGATCAAGTCTAAGAAATATTTATGCTTAAATTCTGTAATATGTCAGCTAAATTTGAGCATCCAAATATGAGTCAGGTACACTGACCACTTTGGCAATGCAATGATCTAATTCAGTTTTCTCCTTAGTATTAGTGAGATTGAGGAGTGGACATTCCTTTGATTGAAAACAACATGGGTAGACTGAAGGATGGATGTCAAAGGTTAGTGTAGCAACCATATTACCAGCTGTTTCAAGAGGAAACGGAGACAGGGCCATGAAGGAAGGGCCTGAATAGAAAGAACCTCTGGAAGACTAACCAGGCTACTGACAGTCTCCTGCAGAGTTGGGGTACTAGGTGCACCCCTCCTCTGGGAGGGCAGAATACTCCCAGTCTTCAGACTGAGATGGGACTTTAAGAATACAGCTGGAAGCCCTGGGTCACAGTGACACTAGGCATCCGTGTGGGACTCTCAAATGGCTAGCAGGCTGACAGTTTCTGACATTTACAGCTCTCATCCCCGGAACTGAAATAGTTGTAAAATTACCATGCAATTCATGGTCCTGGAGCAGCGCACGGCCCAGCTGAGCATCATTTGAAATTTGCTTTGGCTGGATTTGTGAGAAAAGGACAATCTAAGACTTAGAGGGGTCTCGTTACCTTGAAGACAGTCTTAAACCTTTCCAAAGTACCTTTTCCAAAGTAACTGGAGATTAAACTCCTTAGACCGACCGACGAAAGCATAAAACTGCAGTGCCAGCTCCAGCCCGTGCAGACACCCAGATGCACTTACATGAGTGGCAACAGGTGTGAATCTACACTCAGAATTACTGTTCCTGCCTAAAGCTGCTTAGTCTAGCAAATCGAGGCTAGACCCTTGGTTCTGGCAATAAGGGACAGTTGTTAAAAAAAAAAAAATTGAGAGCCATGCAGTGGTGGCTCATGAGTTTAATACCTATACTCGGGAGGCAGAGGCAGGCTGATCTCTGTGAGTTTTGAGCCAGCCTGGTCTTCATAGTGAGTTCTAAGACAGTCAGGGCTACACAGGAACCTTGTCTTCAAAAACAAGAAAACAAAACAAAAATTTGAGGATGGTCAGTGCAGGGTGCTTTTCTAGGGAAGATACGCAAAGTAAAAGGCTATGAAGATCAAACTCATTTCTGCCCTCTTTTGCCCAAATTCATCATTAATAATTAATGTTAATTACATAATTCCCTTCTATTTGCAGAAATGAGTCCCCGAGGCCCTCTCTCCTTGTAAACACTTCGAAAGGGTAGTTATTACATGTGTTTGCTTGAAGGTAGCAAACTGCTATTTCATAAAATATGCTGTAATTAAACACTTTTACACATTTAGCTTTGTTTTCATCTTATTTGTATACTTAATAATTCAATTTTATAGCATTGCGGTATATTTCTAACACCCTGTCTCTCCTGTACCTCACAGGAATTATCCTCCTAATCTCCTTCATATTTCTTCTTCATTGTGAATTTTAAATTTGAATTGATTTTTTTTTTTTTTTTTTGAGTCAGAGATTCACTTTGTAGCTGGGGCTGAGCTTAAACTTGCATCAATCTTCCTGCCTCAGCTACCAAGCACTGGGATTACAGCTGTGAATCACCATGCTTAGCAGGTTCCTGATAGATCTGATACTTTTTCATTCCTATAGCTCCAAGATGGTATTCTTGGAAGCAAGCATACCAACACTTGATGTCTGATCTCCCAACACTTGATGTCTGAGTGCCCAGAGGGTTGTGGGGAGATGGGGGGTGGGAACGGGACAGGGACACCTAACTGCAGCCCCGGAGGTGGGAGCTTGTGGCCAGAGTAGACTCTGTCATTCCTCACCTTGGATTTGAAACCTGGTCCTGCCTGTGGGTACGGAGAGTACATGGGTCAACCTGTCCAAATCTGGTTTTCTCACCTGCAAAGTGATGACTGGGTGGCTCAGAGCAGTCGCTGCATGGAGAAGACGTGTGTACCGGTGGTGCTGTGCTTGCTCTCTTCCTTAGAGGAGCAGAGACAAGCTGTTTGCTCCCTCGGCTCAAATGGGAACCCTGCTCAGCATTCAGCACTATTCTCAGTGGGGTGTATAGCAAGTACTGCTTTGTTCTTGTTTTTCCCACACAGTATCTTGATATAGAGCCTAGGCTGGCCTCAAATTACGGTGATTCTCCTGCCTCTGCCTCCTGTGTGCAGGGATTATAAAAGCATGAGCCACCACATCTGGTCCAGCTTCTTTGGACACTAAAATGGGGTTTGCCGAAGAAGCTGTAAAAAGTCTTCCCCAGATAAAAGTCATTGTGTTAACAGATTGAGGGGTGAGACTAAGGACCTGTCTTTCTTATTGCAACCCTTCACAAGAAGACACCAGCCAACTGCTTTAGTGATAACGTGAATACTTGTGAGGAAGAAGATGGGAAAAATCCTCCATGGTGGTGGTGGTGGTAGGGTCTCTGTTTAACAGGGGTTCCAAGGAGGAACACATGGACAGGGCATTCCCTGCTTGAACATACCAATCTACATGGCCTGTGTCATTTCATAGCCTTTAGTGCTTGCTAAGACAGGAGTCTGGGATTTGAACATGGGCAGAGCCTGGACCTTGGTTTTAAGCTCACTAGTGCCAGTGTGGCCCCTAGGAGGGGTCATCACTCTGGGGGAAATGGTGGCATTGATGCCACACACGAAGACAAGGTCAGAGGGCCTGAATTGGGGACTCTGGGCAGGGACACACAGCAGCTGTGGGAGCACCAGCCTTGCTTCAGAAGGTGCCTGTGGTCTGTTTGTTCAGTAAACCCACACTGTGCCTTCCTGATGATACACTCCATTGATGTTACAGAAAGGCCCTGGTCCAGGAAGCAACTTACTTCCAAGGTGACAGAAACAGTGTCCTGGAGGAGAAGGAAGTCACAGGAAGAGCTCATGGTTTCTAAGACACAGAACAGTTTGAACATTTGCCTGGCTCAATGCTCTTAAAGGAAGGATAGTTCAATGCACTGATTTGGAGAATCTACAGGGTTTACTAAAAAATTAAAATAAAAAATGCATTACTTCGTAGTGGCCTTTCCTGATCTCAGCTCCTACAGCAGAGCTTGCGCCTTATGCATAGAGAACTTCTCAGAGGATCCAAGGACTCACGAGCACCAAGCTTATGTGTGAAGCCTGCAGGCTTCTGCATGAAACCCAAATGGTAGCCATGGTTCTGAGAGCAGGGGTCAGAGTTGTCCAGTTACATCTCAGGAAAGGCCCACAGTTCAGTACCTACACAATTTGCAAGTACTTGTCCAAGCTTTCCACGATAGCTAAGAAGTCCAGCTTTGGTTGTTGTGAAGAGCCCGCTCAGGCCTAGCCAGGGCAGGCCTGTGGAAGCCCACAGCAGCCTGGCTCAGGCCCACCTCAGCTCAGTTACAAACTGCTGCTCGCCACTCCTAGGTCTGCAGTATTAGCATGGAAGACTTCATCACATGCTACCAATTCAGTCATGCCAAACCCTAAGTCTCTGTCCATTGTGCCCACATGCAAGTGAATAAAGCAGGAAGGGATCATTTGGAAAGGGTTACTGGGTATCCTAAGAGTTCGCCTAGCAATAGAAAGAGTGGAAAAGTAAGCACAATAAAGTAATATATGGTAAAGAAACTGCCACATGGAGAGCTCCGAGAACACTTCAGAGAGACAGCTTCCAAACAACATGCTGGTGACTCACTGCTTACAGACTGAGAAGGACCATCTACTGAGAAAGCCAAGGTCTCCAGGACACTTGCTGATCCTCAGAAATCCCCAAGGGCTGGCTGGCCAGCCTCTAGGAACCTCAGCTTGTTTACCATACAGACACAGATCCCACCAAGACACAGGCTTTCTGCGGGTATGTCCAGCTCTGCCTGCAGGTCAAAGCAATTGGACATTTATTTGTCTTAACTTCGAATGTTCTGGCATTCTCAGATATGAGGACTTCCAGCAACTGTGCCAGATTATATTAGTCTTCCCAAATGATCCATTAATGTCTAATTTCAGTTGAGACAATATAATGGAGGCAGGATAATTTAGATGTCCTACTACCAAAGTGAGTTCAAAATACATCTATCAGTTTTAAAGTCCTGACAGCAGGGTTCTCCGTGTACCTGACACTGCCAGGAGGGCACCATGGAAACAGTGCACGTGGCTATGGCTCTGCGTATTTCCCCACGCCCTCCTGACTTCCTGCCTCAGTCCTGCAGCCCTGGCAGGGTGTGTTCTGTGAAGACGCAAGGGTCAGGGGAGTGGGAGCTACTGTGTATCTGCTGTAGCACCCGAGGGAGGGAAGACCCAACGATGGACTGACACATTGCTGAGCAGGAAACCTGTGGTCCTACCCGTGTCTGTGTGGGCTGCACACTGAGAAGCCCACACACATGGCTGCAGTTTAAACTCGCTCTGAGGACGGACATGGCTATGCCTTTCTCTGTCAGCACTTAGAGCTACATCACGGTATCAAGTCTACTCCGTAATGAATGCCACTCATGTGAGCAAGCACTCACCACTAACCATCCTGAAGTAAGCATCATGGGTTCACATTAACCTCCTGAACCACCAGAGCAAACAACAGAATCACACTACATGTTTATACCATTAAAATCTCGGCGAGCACATTGCGAAAACCCTACTACCCTCCCCCCATGCATTTTGGAGACTGTCTTGCTTTGTTACCTTGGGGTCCATACTGGCTCATCTGTGGACCGTATGTGCCACTTGAGTTACTCTGCTGAAAGTTACTGATCCCAGGATGCATCTGGCCCCCAGGAGAGGGATGAGGCGACATGGAGGGTCCTGTCTGCTGAGGTCCGTACTGAGACATCTGAGGGTTTCTCTGTGTGCCTGCCATAAAACCTACACGGGAAACAAAGAAACACAGAGAGGTAGGCTTCTTATCATTTCCGTGTACACGGTGCCCATGGGCTTGTGTAGAAGGCAGATGGCAAGAGGCTTGGTGCTACCAGACTCCCGTAAAGAAACATCCAAAGACATCTCAAATCAAGGGTGGAGCCTGGGAGGGTGCCATGAGGACACCCAGCCTTAATCCTGAATCTTTACTTGAGTTTCTGGAACACCAGTAGTCAGTGGCCTTGATGAAAGGGACTTCACAGGAACGGGCAGAAGAGGCAGTCAGCATGATACCACCTTTGTAGATGCCTTGCTGATCCAACAATTACAGTGGGGCAACCTGCACTCATTCTGGCTTGGGCTGGGCATGTGCCGTCTCTGTGTAGTCCATGTAGGTCCATGGCACCCAACCCTCTTCCCTGGCACCCTCAGCTCTCCTTGCCCTCCTCAGACAGCTGTTCAGCTAGATTCCAACAGCTTGGGGATCTGAAAAGAGCCAACACACAGTGTCCTTGCAGGGACCCCAGTCCATCTGTGCTCTGTACCTCCAGCTCAGACTTTCCAGCTTCCACCCCTGAATCTGCTCTGCCTATCCACTTCCCACCCTTTGTGTGATGCCATTACAGGCCCAGAAGCTTCTGTCAGACGTTCTCTTCTGTTCCTCTCTGTCATCGAGCCATTGGCCTGCCTTGATGACTGAGGTCCTCCTTGAAGGGCTCCTCTCTTCTGTCCTGTCTCTGCAGAGCCCCCTCCCAGCTATGGCCTAACTACCACTAGTCCCTTCCTCTTACTTATTCTTTGCTACAAAGCTGCCAGACTTAACTTTCAGGACTGAAGAGAAGGTATTCCAGCAAATCCTTCACTTGTATAAGCCCTTGGCAGCTTTCCACTGGACCCAGGCCTTAGACACGTGGTCTGCTGGTGACCTCTCACATTGACCCTTTACCACAGCTCCTCTTCCTCCTCCACTGGTCTTCCTGTCCTTCACAGAAGATGCTATCAAGTATTGTCCTTCAACCAGGCCTAATTCTCTCCTGTTCCTACTCCTTAGATGTCTCTCCATGTGCTCAGTGTTGTTATTGCTTTTTCTGGCTGCCCAACCTCAGGTTGAATCAACTATTCCACATCTTCCCCAGATGCCTTCACAGCACCGTTCGTAGCCTAATGGGCTGCATTATCACTAGTGTTTGTACATGTGTATGTGGTGTGTGTATATGCATGTTCACCTGTGTGTGGGTATACCTGTCTGCACATGCATGTGAAGGGCTGAATTTGACACTGGGTATCACCTTCATATCTACTGAGGCAGCATCTCTTGCTGACCCAGAGCTTGGCAGTTCCAGCTAGCTCGGCTTGCCAGCTTGCCTCAGGACCAGCCTCACCTCCTGAGTGCTGGGATTAGAAGCAACTGTCACATCTACCTGGCTTTTATGTATGTTCTTGCATTCCGGCCCACCTGCATACTTAGATGGGAGGCATCATGGAGCCATTTCTCCACCCCCAGGACTATTCATAGTTGCTATTCCTTCTCTTACTCACTGAGCAGCTCCACAAAAAGCAAAGACCATGTATGTCTCTCAGTGCTTCAGCCTAAGTGTCTTGTACGTGGACGGCACCCAGGCTGCACCCAGGTCCTTTTGCGAGAGTTTCCCTAAACAGGCTGGATCTCTGTGCACAGGCTGCACCCCACGTGCTTCTGCATGCAGGGAAGGGCAGAGGCAGCACCACACCCAACTGAAACTGCCTTCTGAATATCTGCGCAGACACCGGACACTCTGGAGCATAATGCAGCAGGGACTTGGTAAATAGGTTTTTTAAATGTGCCAAGCATGTATTTAAGTTATTCAGAAATGCAATGTTAGAAAAATCCACTAGAGTCGTTTAGGCCAACAGAAGTATGAGTTCAAAGCAGCACTCACAAAAGGGAGCCATAGACAAGTCTCAATAGGAGTGTGGTGAGAATGCTCCAGTTCCTCAGTGGAGGCGCTGGCTGGGCAGAGGCAGGTGCGCCTGCTCAGAGCCTTAGTGGAGCCTCTGCAGCTGCGGGAAGGCAGAGCCGCGGGAAGGCAGTGTAAGTCCAGGGAGAGCAACACTATCAGGTAACAGACACCATGGTTTACTAAGGACAAAATGAGATCTTTTAACATGGCTTGTGCCTAGGAGACTAAAGTCAAAGTACAGACAGCTTTCTTCTTATTATTATTCTATTTAACTTATTTATAAAGAGAAATCTTATGAAATCAAGCTCTCCTAGAAAAAAATGTTTGCTTTGCCAATCCAAAAGCAAACATGAATCAGAGCACTAAAATGACTGTAAACGAAACGACTGCGCCTTCAGACACTGTAAATGACTGCGCCTTCAGACATGGCACGAAACAATGTCCGAGCTTCACTGGGGATTTCTCAGGTTTTCAGAGTCCTGGTTAATAAAAATGGCACTCAGTACCATGGCGATTGTGTGCAATGGCTTCCTCTTGGCTGGTCAGTGCAGCAACAGTGGTCCCTTTAGCATTCGACTGTCCCTCAACTGTGAAGGTGCCACTGTTTAAGGGCTCACTTGCTGCCCCAGCACACCCTATGGTCACTGCTGCTGCTGGGACATGTTCTGTGGCTGGAAGTTGATCATGAAGGTTCTGAGAAGTCTTGCCTCAGCAAGTTCCTTCATTTCTGGGCATTGACTCAGTCCTTAAAGACACGGCCGTCAGTTGTCAGTTCTACTCAAATGAATCCAAAATATCATTTGCATTGTATCGAAAACAAAATCTGTACACAGGCTTTACTTAAAAGGAGGCTGAGGGCAAAACATAAATCCTGGGGACTGTGACAGCATCAAAATCTTGTAACTTAGAGACAAAGCTCTATGGGTGTGGCCTCTACCTCCCATGTAGACATTTGGATCAGAAAGCCAATTTTCTCTTTAGCCTTTTAAAACGTTCAAATTATAAGGAGTTTCTTTTCTTTTCTATGGCCTCATGCAGGATGTGGCAGGCATATTATCACCGAGCCATACGTGCAGTCCAGCAGAACTTCTTAAAATCTTGCTTCTTTGTTTCTGCAGGAGTCACCCCTTTTCCTTTCCCTGTGCCCTCATCACTTCCCTGCCTTGTCTCAGCAATCACCAACTGGCTGTACAGGGCTGGGGGCAGAAGGTCTTGTTCCAGGGTTGTGCTGTTAGCAGCCCAGAAGCAAGTTGGAGTCAGACGTTTAATGAATACACTGCCGTGCACATTCACTGTAAGTTGTGACTTTATGTACTCTCTCCCAGGCCGCAGTTGTCTCCTCTTAAAATGAAGATTCCTGTAAGGCTCAACAGAGCCAGCATGGGAAAGTGCTCTGCAACCAAAGAGCTCCTGGTGCACAAACACCAAAGCCCTGACTCCTGGACAGTCCATGCATTCAGAGAGTTTCCAGCTAGAAAGATAAGCTGGTGTTTATGTCTGCACCTGTCTTACTTTTGTATGTGGAATCTGCATCACCTGGGCACTTAGGTGTGCACACATCCCAAGGGGTTTTGGGAAGGGTCCTGGAAAGCAACCCACTTGTTCTGCTTCCCAAGGGTCTCCTGTCTAGGGTGGCCATTGCTTCAGTATGTATGTTCTCTCTGAGGCGCGCGCGTGTGCGTGTGCATGTGTGTGTGTGTGTGTGTGTGTGTGTGTTATATTTTCTACTTTTTTTTCTCTTGAGTAAATATGAGCACAGTTCGAATGCTCCTTTGAGTTTGGTTCTACCATTCATCTGTACACATATCTGTTACTGTCTTCTGACCGGTAGTATCCCTCCTACAGACAGCAGTGATAGCCCAACAGACAAGGGCATACAGCCTTCTCTGTAGTCCACAGAAAGTTAGATTCTTGGTTTGCTGGCCAGGTACTGCCACAACAGCAAAGTGACAGGATTTTGCACACTTTCCGCCACATGCATCACGAGGAAAGGTCTGAAGGTCGTGGTGTCTGAGGTTATAAGTCAGCTAGAGGCCCATTCAGTGATGTCTAACTCAGACTTTTCTAAGTGTTTCTTTTTGGCAGTGTGGGAAATGGAACCCAGGACCTAACGTATGATTAGCATCTACAGCCACTGAGCTACACTCCTAGTTCCTAAGACTTGCAATTTCTAAATAGTTATGGAATCCTGACATGATCTTGTAAAAACACTGGTAAGAAGTGAGACAGAAGCTGCTTGAAAAAGGAGTTTCTACTCTGTCTAACTATGGAAACAACACGTGCATGTTTATTTTGGTTTCCCCATTTGTGAAGTGGGGACGGTTTTATTTGCCTCACAGGAGTGCTATGAGTGAAAGACATATCATGACAAACTCGCTAGCAGCATAAGCTCCCAACACAGACCGCTGATGGCAACCTGGCTGTCATCAGGAGGGGGGTCAGCAGGAGAGGAGGCCTGGGCCGGAGCAACATGGTTTAGGGTTAGTTCTGGTGTCCAGGTCAGCTGTGTAGACGGCAATCAGACTCTTAACCTCTAGCCTCTCCCTTCTCACCTTAAGAGTCTGAAGCTTGACAGTGGACCAGCATGCCCTCATTAGCTAGCCAGTTAGTCCTCCCACACCCTCTCCATTTTTTGAGACAGGATTTTTCTGTGTAGCCCAGGCTGTCCTGGAACCTGCTCTATAGACCAGGCTGGCCTCAAACTCAGAGCTCTGCCTGCCTCCTGAGTGCTGGGATTAAAGGTGTGCGCCACCAGTGCTCAGCTTCTAGTTAGCCATCACTCTAGTCAGACATTTTTCTCCTGCAGGGTGAGGGTGGGCTGGTGGTGGACTAAATAGTTCCATAGTTTCCGTAAATATTTCTTTGGACTCAGACTTTGTTTTTGTTAGTACTTTAAAAATTTATTAAAGAAAATGGGCATTATTTTTCCCATGCTCCAAAAAAAATCAAAATTCAATAAAAATGTTTCTGGCTATTTATGGTGTTAATATTTATTTGCCTGTATTTTGCTTTTAGCAAGTTATTATGGAAGGCTGCTGCTGGAGAAGAGAGGACTTGACAGCTGGG